AATTTTATAAAATTAAATCTAAAATTATCTCTAAAATATATTTAGAGAGAAATCTATTAAACAGTTATCAATCACAGATCGTTCTGAAATATCTCGTTCAGTTGGCAGAGCTATAACTAAAAATCCTATATATATATAAATATTTGATTTTATAGAGGCAAAACAAGAAAAATTGAAAAAGATCGAACATCATCTAATTACATTTAGAAGCATTCACATACAGTTTTAAAACGGAGTCCGTTATCGCATGGTGGGTTTGGCGTTTGGGGGCTGTAAACATTTTCCGTCACGATCGAATGAATCCTCACGAAAATACCACAGCAACCAACAACTTTTTGACATTTACCTTTCTTTAATTCCAAGTTATTTGATTAAACGGTTAACAAATGATAACACCTTTAGTTATTAGATATATAATACCAATATAGATATATAATATCAATAAGAATAAACTACGAAAGAAACTTCGTTTCGACCTAGTGTTCCACGACACTCACGCATTTCTTTTTTCTTATAATCTAGTACTTATCAGCTTCAACTATACGGTTCTGTTATATATACGGTCGAATTTCTGTTTGTAAATCTCCAACTTGGGAAAGCGGTCTAAATTTTCACGTCGCATTCTATTTTTGTATTCCAGCATACTTTTACTAAATGAAGCTAAGTTTATTGGTAAATTCACTTTTTAGAGATATGAGAACTTATACTGTAATTTTATTTGTATTATGTATTACAAACGCAACAAATGGACAGATCTGAGAGAGAATATACCAAAATCACATGCACTAAATCTTTAACCATCCCGTTATAAATACATCATGTGCGATAATTTCTTGTATTTACCCGATTAGTCATTATAAATGAAACTATTTTTATGGAACAGACTGTGTTCCGTGATCATGAACGTTGTAAAGGGTTCGCAAAGTCGGGAATTAAAATGAAAAGCAATAAGTCCGTGATAACAGTTTTATTTATAATACATCATATATAATTATACAGTGACGTTTATTTCTCAACACGTGAACTACATATATATACGATTACCAAAGAACGACAAATATATAACCAATTCAGTCGTTTATGTAATGTAATAAGTATATTATTAGGATTCCAGCAATTTTTCAGCAATTTATGCTCCAAAATATCGAATAACCGTACCGTCGATAATTGAAATTGTACAACGTCGCGGTGTAAGGGAATTCCCTCAGCACGAAGCACTGCCATAATGTCCACACAAACGAGGCTCTCGTGTCGAAAACTAGGTAATCGCGTAGGAAGATCAGTAAGCAGAGGCAGCTTGCGACATGCGAAGAGCAACCCAATCAACTAGCATGCGACAATTGACTTAATGGATATGTACCTGCGAACGATACGTCACGCTCCACTGGCCTTCTCGAGTATTAGAATCTTCCGTTGTTTCCCTTAAATATTTCATCACTCCGTATTGCACTCTTGCAGATGCTTCCAACCTTATTACGAAGAATACCGCCAATATATAAGGGCATGATACGAAATCATTGCATCACGCGAATTAGATTCACTTTATTATTAACTAATTTAAAAGTGATCTGTAAACCGGATGCTATTAGCGGCGAAGGTTGCGCTGCAGCTGTTTTTATGTAGGAAAAGGCAATAAACCTATTTATTAGAGTATAGATAAAAATTACATGCTCGCAATAAAATAGGCTCTACTTTAAAAATTGACTTAAATCTGATTTAAAATTTCCTTAAAATTATCGAAGTAATATATCGGAAATTAGTTTAAAAACTGTCGTAAAATTTTTCGTCAGGATTCTAACCTTCCGGAATACGGCGGCCAGACTTTCGAGCCATAAAGAGATCGACATCGACCTCGCGAAATTATCGACGTCTTATCTAATTTTGTTTTTATTGCATTTGTAGCAATGGTGTTGACATTATCTTATGTACGTCAACAAGCGTCTCGCGCGAAACGTCCTAATCGACCCGCTCGAGGAAGGGGACTTAGATACGCCGGACCCACCGCCGGGGGTCCCGTTGGATAGCACTACACCCGCAGTTAGTGCAACAACAAACACACTAGTTCGCCCTTGCCTCCGAGCACGGCGAGAAAAACACAACGCGTACACAAGGTACACCCGCGTTCCAGGGCGGTTCTCACCGCTCCAAGCCACCGATTAGCTAATTGTACAGTCGATGGCCAACGGGGTTTCGGTTCGAACCGCGACCTCGATGGCCCTTAGATGACACACCATACTTAAACGCACGCATGAGCACATGCGCGGCCCTGCCCACAGTGGAGGGCCCAAACCCGTGGGTTCCACCGGTTCTGCGTGAGATGAAGCTTTAATAGTCTCGGGACTAAAAGCAAAAACATCAGTTAATACAAGATACAAGTTATCTTATATGACTGTTTTACAACAGTCACACTTACTCAAATTACATTTTTACCATGAATAGTTGAAAACTGGTGTGTGGTGTGACCTTGCTATTGAAATTTAATTTTAAACTATTATATATATATATATAGCTATATTCTACACTTAAGATAAAAATTTAAAAAAAAGTTTTAGTCTTAGTGAAACAGTCTTTATTTGTTCAAATTAATAATATTTACGTTACATAAATGTAATGAAAAGCCAGGTTAAGCCAGTTTTAACACGCGCGATATTCTAAATGCACTTTTTTGGGCATACACTCGATATTACCAATGCCACTAGTTATTTAAAAGAAATAACGGAATTGTGAGAGTGACTTTAATTCGTCCACTGCGAGCGTTGACATTGTACGTTGGCTACGGAGTTACGCGAGGCCGGCGGCGGTTTCGACAATGCGCTCATTTGGAAATCGTACACGCATAATAGAAACGAATATATTGATAGATATCGCACAATCGTTTATTTAATTAATCAAGAGTTCAAAGATATTGTCATAGACAACTACATATTTTTGTACCTATGTAAGTCCTCACTGGCTGCTTTCAAAATATTACTTACAAAGTAATTCAAGTCATCAATACGGTAACCTGAATCGTTTTAGCTTTCGTATATATCGTTTAGCAATGTTCATTTGACTGGAAGAGCACTTTGTATCTTACTCGATGTTATTTCTAATACAATTTTAATTAATTTACTTTATGTTAGAATAATATTTCGTAGTATTCTATTAACAATAATTAACCTGATCTATAACGGAGCCTTAAGAGGAGCTTAATCTTGATCTGATCTTGTAATTATGTTTTTTTATGCGAAAAGTTGTCAAACGCGCAGACGGTTCACCTGATGTTAAGTGGATACCGACATCTGAAAATTGGGTACCGGCCACCTCACTCACCAGACAAAACGGCGAAAGTGTTATACTTCCACTTTACGCCGGTCTTCTGTGAGGTCGTGGTACTTACCCGGACGAGCCTGCTCATTCGTGCAACAGCCGAGGCGGCTGCGTGGCGCTACCACCGTAAATGTTTAAATTATAACATCAAATCGTATAGTCATTATTGCTTAATGATTGCGGCGTAACTGGAGGATATCCTGCTCGATATGCTGCGCCGAGCATACTGGGCTGCGGGGCCTCCAATCAATTATAGAGCTAAAATTTGTGAACAAATAGGTACTAACTCATTTCACCCGTCCGCACGAACTCATTATATCTAATATAATTTAACTAGGTAGGGGTAGGGAAGGTAACTTAAGTAGAGCCACGCAATGATCTTATCTGTTGCACGAATAGGCACTTCCATCCGGGCAAGTACCACGACCTCGCAGAAGACCGGCGTGAAGTGTAAGTGTTAGTTAGAGTGTAGTGTAGTGTTTAAGTTATACGCTACACTACACTCGACTAATCAGTGAGGTAGCCGGGGCTCACTTTATTAAAAGGTAAACAGTCAGCTCGCATAAAAAGAAGTCTGAGAGAATAAGATTGATATCTAAAGAATGTTTTCTTGGATTATGTGTCGGAACAACATAGAATAATAGATTCTACATCACGCACGACATCTATTACTTGTGTGTATCAATAACGTAATCGCAGTGTGTAAAATTTTTCCCACCTATTGTTAGCATTCATGCGCACGCGTGGGGTCGTCGCGGCAAAACTTGGACATTTAAATTCAGCACGTGCGACAGATTTCAAAACGAACAAATGAACTTAATATCAAAGATATATCGTTATTTTATTTAGAATGAGTAAGCATAGCATTATAAGCCAGTGCTTATTTAAGATATGACAGAATTTATGATATTATCTTTGCGATGTTCAATTTTAACTGTTAACTGTATTACATTTATGCTACCGAGAATTTTAAAAAGACCTTCCTTCTTGAAACTACATCATAGATATATTTAAATACATAAGAACTTGCCACCATGTAATATGTCAAGTACGGTTACGTATAAGACGGTTTTGAAAGGCACATAATAATATGGATGACAGATAACGAATGGCCAGCCCTCGAGAGTGCAGCCATCGTAGGCGAGAGCTCGGCTGTCCGTGGAGGGCGCAGTTTCACTCAGCGGCCGCAGCCTTGCTTTAATGGCTCACTTAAACGGCACTGAAGCGGCCGCGCCGCCGCGACCTCCGTTCACTCCACAATTTCACGTGAACAATATCTGGCTCAGTCTCAGCACTTGCCTAATCTTAGTTATGCATATACCTTCATATGGGAGCGAGGTGGGGATTGCGATATGCAATTCAAATCCGAGTGTCGTAAATGCAATATATATAACCGATTCCGATAGGAATCAAGCGTGTGTAGCAACATAGCTATTATTATGGTCTCGGAAATTAACTCCTTTGAAGATTCTACTTCTATACACTCGTGAAAAATACTAAGATTGAAAAAGGAAGTAATACGAATTTATCTAATTGTTGTAGTAGTCGGCCTAAAATATAAAGTGTATACATATACTACTCTTATAATATTTTTTATCGAAAGTAAAGGCGATTATGGACTTCTCTAATATTTCGCAAGAATGAGACTTGACGTGTTAGTTGAGCGATGTTAACACTTTATGTACACACAGATGAACGTAGACCCGTTCGCAAACATTAGATTAGCGCAATCAGCCGCGATCATAATAATCTATATAGGAGCGCGTAAAATTCATAGCATCGCTTATGGTCGGGCGCGTTGCGCACGCGGGTTTCGTCAGCGGCTTGCGTTAGTGCGCAGCTGGCTAATGCTAATGCGCGCGGCCGACTTGGCCGCCGCCGCGCCGCCGGAGACGCGTGACACAGCCGACGCTCATTTTAGAAAAAATCGCCGACGAACATTCGGCTGAAATTAGTCAACACGAATCTTCGACGACACTCGTGGATTATTATGGACACTAACTTAACTTACATATCAATGAGTGTGTACCTTTTCTAACAACTTGTTACGATAAAACACGAACGGTGGAATGCTGCGAGCCCATGTAATACTTTTGCAATACGATATTAGCAGAGTTGTAATGACTGGTAAATGAAGTGCAATTAATTGTCATTAACTTATGCCGACTACTTTGGTCATGTCGTGGCTTTGGGAGTAAATTGCAAAGATAAACCCGTATTAAACTAAAATTTTTCCTTCTCATACAAGAAATCATTCTGAATGCAAACACCTAAACCATTGATTGTCGTTAAATTGGTTAACGCGATGGAATGCCCAAAAGGCCGCCCAGCGCAGAACTGGTAGCGCGAGCCCCGCGACTGACCGGTTGCTCGTTGACTGGTTATAGAACGCGTGCGAACTGGTTTGCCGCCTCCCAATGCTGAAAACTGTTTCAATAAACTAACTAACCTATTCCATACTACCACATGTGGTGCAGAGTCGAAAAAGGTTAGTTCAAGCGCACTTTAACTCATATACGGTTAGTAGTGAGCATAATGTACAACGTTACTTATATTTTATGATATTATTTGTCACCTTCCAGCCAGAGCTGCAACCAATGGACGGAGGGGCACAAAATTAAAATCCGAACGGCAATTTCGCCACAGCGGCCGGTGAGCGTGGCGGCGCGAAAAGAATAACTCGTTGCGTTATCCAATTATAAAATTGAATTGAAAGCACGTTTTACATTGGAGGAACGAAAATAGTACTACTAAAAATATACATTTAAACTATATCATTTTGACGCTTTGGTAAAAAGCTAGAACAGCTCGTAGACCAGCTCCCATTTGCATAATATGGCCACTTTTTCTTTTAATTCTTTTTAAATAAATCTGTCACTGATTAATGAAATCTAATATATTTTAACAATAATGTTAACAGAGTAACAGAGTTACAAAATATCGAGGTTGTTGCATAATTAAAATTTCAAGTTTGGCATAGACTTCTCATTAAGGGTGTAATGTTTTCATGTTCATTCATGTTGAATAGATAGACTAAATCTAAGTTGCGTCCCCCTATTAGGGAATGTGAATCTTGAATTAATTGGTCTGTCTGTGGAATGATGACGATTAGGAAAACCCGTCGTGGCAAGAAGGGGTTCACCCCCGACCTCATCCGCGGCGCAATCTTCTGCCGGCGCCGACTAGTGTGCTAACCGCTCCAATTACGTCACGCGCCTCTCGCCGGCGAAGGCTGTGACCACACCCCCTTACATATGAAAGATACCCGCAATATCGCACTCTTGTTTATTTTGAAATCAAAACAATACAATATAATTTAAGCGGAATACAATATAAAATAAGTGTTAGTTCAGCTTGTTTCCAAGTTTCGTTGGAATTTTTAGAGGTACAGTGGCGCGAAGATACAATAACACCCGTTCCTATTTATAATATTAAAATAAGCGACTTGTTACAAAATGGCCACCGGGCTGCCGCCGTTGCTCCACGTCTTGCTTCGCTTCTTGGAAATTTCCACCAAATTAATCCGCTTCGGTCGATGCAATAATGCACTCCGTATTTTGCGACAATCTATAAATTAACTGGTACCACTAAATTATATAAAATAGTCTTCTATAAAAAAAAATTGAATAGTGGTCTATAAAAGATACCTTATTTGTTATATTGTGCTCTGCTCATGAAAATCATTAGTAGTTCTCTACAAACTATCCCGGAATAGCTTTAATACTGAGAAGAAAAATAACTATGCTGAATATTTTGACGTAATGAAGGCAATCATTTCAACTGGGAAGTCAACTGCATCTATGAGTACACTTAATGTGCTGTATTTTGCTTTATGTTATGAATGCTTTAACATTATATTGTAACAAACATGTGATGATAAAGGCGAGCAAAACCATCATCATGTAGCCGTATGCACGTATTAATTTAGACCGAGTTATTTCAGTATCTAGTACATTTTGTTTTTTATGAATAGTAACTATATATAAATTCCAGATATAGCACTATAACGAATATATATATGTGGAATGGTAGTCAAGCACAATCTCATTTTGAGCACACAGGAAAATACGTGAAGCCGACAATCACAACTATAAAGAAAATTTTAACAAAGACGGATCGCTTCGTCTACTTCATCTCTTATTCCGAATCCATTATAAACGATAATAATAGCGAAAGAAAAAACTATAGAAGCTGAATAAGTTTTTGGCTTACGCAGGCGCCGTGTACGTCCTTCTTGCGTAGAAGATTCTAGAAGGTCTAGAAGGGTTACAAAAGGTAGGTTTTTGAACTAAAAACGGAAAAATACGAGCATCTGAAGTACTTTCTATAAAGTCAAAGTCAAAATTTCTTAATTCAATATAGGCTTCTTTGCACTTAGCCCTGTAGTCCCGGGCTCATAGAATAGCGCTAAGGCTTCCCCTGCCTGTCGTCAAAGCCGACTAAAAGGGGACACGGATGGGCATCACAACGAAGTGGTCTCGTGCTGCTGCAAGAGGAGAAAGTTGTTTCTTTAATTATAGTTAGGCGTCTCAGTCCGAGGACACGGTGCGCTTCCAATTATAAAGTTTTCAAAATTATTAAGTATAAAATCCTTCTCCGAGGCGTGCTCAGGCGTCCGAGGGACACCGGTGCGCTCCATGGGAGATCCCGGAGTCCCTCCAAATGTACGAAAGGTGGCCACTGAGGGGGTTTTAGTGGCTAAGAACCCCACATAACCCTGTCATGTAAGTTGACAGGGTTATGTGGAGACTTTAGAAAATCACCCCCCCTCCCCTCCCTATAATAAAAAAAGGCTTCTTTGCACTTACTGAACAGACTTACTTGACTTGTCCAGAGAAGAACCGACAATAAACTCTGTGGTTTCTTTAATTATATAAGTTTTCAAATTATTTAAGTATAAAATCAGCAGCAACCAGGAGACTTGCAAGGGCAGAGCAAGAGTCATTTCCACAATTCCTTGTCCTCAATGTATTCATTGACATTGTAACAGGCCCCTCATAGGATAGCTTTTACAAAATGTTTCAAATTGGTTACAATTAGTTGTTTGTGGATATTGCGTATTTTATTATATAAGTTAACACATCTACGAAGAAACGATTATCTGGTAAAAGCCAGTCTAATACTCCATATTTCTAGCATGTTATCACGGCCCCGACGTTTAATTGTTACAAAAGATGCCGTAGTGACTTACGTGGACCCAAGCCATAGACAGCCCGTCCAGCCCCTTTTGCAATACAAATATCGTGTCTAAACCAGATGTGAAACCCCAATATAGCACTCATAAATATGATGCTCATCAACAAATTGTTGTAAATGAAAAATAAAGCTACGAAATATTTTTTAGGTTCGCTTTAACGGTGTATGTTACAATAAGTTAGATCGCTATCCGCCGCCTTGATTTTTTGTGCATTTACGTATTGGTCATAGATATAGTCGTTAACCTTGTCAAGTTGTATAGTTTAACTTTGCTTCAGAACTGGGGATAACATTGAACCGAAAATTAAGAATGCACGCAGGGAAACTATATTATTAATAACAGTTAAATTCAGAGGCCGTTTAGAGAAGCGTCGTCGGACGCTTGTAATCGAATGTGGCGTTTCAAGTCTGAAATCTGTTGATGATCGAATGATGTGAATCTTGACGCAAGCAATCACTTTCGGATATGACTTTTTAAAAGGCGGCGCTGCCGTGGAGGTCTCTACATTCAAATACCGATATTCATTAGAACAACACGTACGGTACCCGACTATTTATAGGAAAGTTAAAATAAATATAATTCATTTCTTTTGAAATAAGGTGCTTTGTTACGACTTTCTTATTAACTTAAGAGAAAACCTTGTTTTGTCCTCGAAACTGAACCAAATAACGAATTAATATGAACCTTAAGCAACATTTTTTACTTTCCAAAAGTATGAAGGTTGACCACCTCGCACACGAAGCCAATTTCAATGTCTATCGACGCAACAAACAAATGTGCCCACGTTTAAGTAATATAATAACAGCTCAGGCGGTGTTTATAGTAAATTTTAATTACAGCAATATTTTTCTCGTTCCTTATTGTTGTCGTACCTGCCTCATGTTTGAATTATAAATTTTCGCTACTTTTGTTGACTTCCTGAGTTACAGTTTTAAAGTGACCTTAGCAGACTATATATTTACAATATTTCCCTAAACAGGTGCCAATCTGAGCTACGATACGAAGAAAAGGAGTTGAGAAGAAGACTGTGAACAAAACTTAACAATATGAGGAGTACGGTGTACATAGTAGCGCTGTGCGCGGCGCTCGCTGCGTCCGCGCCCGCCCCCGCTCCCGCCCCCGCGCCCGCGCCCGCCCCCGCGCCCGCCCCCGCGCCCGAACCACAACCCGCCGCCAATCCCGTGCCCTCCGCCGACGACAAGCCTGAAATCATCGAGATTATTGCTCCCGCTGCCAGCGCGCAAGTGAGTTTTGTTTTATGTAATAAGATGGCAACTAAGCCGGCGGTTCACCCGATGTTAAGTGAGAACCGCCACCCATGAACATCTGCTACACCCTAAAGCACTTAAAATTAATAATTTAATTGGTGATTACCTATATTGAATTAAAGGCGAGCGCCCGAACACTGAGCTATCACGCCTCTAAATAAAAGTAAAAAAGTATTGAAGGCGTTTTGTAAACCTCGAACTCCTGTATTAAATTACTTGCAATACATTTGTTAAGCCATTAAAAATAAATATTATAACGTTTGCACAAGAGAAGACAGCTACTATTTTTTATTTTAAAGACCATTAGGCAGCGTAAAAAATGATTTGCATGTCTACAGATGTAAATGAACCTTCGACAAAATAATCAATACAAGACATAATTGCACCTCATCGCTATAAGAAGCGTCTTTTATTGTTTTCCTATACTTCCAACAGTGATTAAATTTAAAATTACGCGTTGGCCATCAATATGCGCGTGCAAAGTAAATATCATCAAAAATATTTATTTTTCTTTACAAAATTTCAGGAAACGCTGGCAACATTAAACTTGGGAGCGCCTGGCTCCGAGCTCAGCGAACGCAATAAGCGCACCATCGGCATTTTGCGACAGCTGTTCCCAACGCTCACGCAGGTAGCGTTCTATTTTATAATTCTTGAAAACACAGGAAAGCCGTAACTTAGAACTACCTTCAACAACAAACAGTCTCTGTGAATTACCACTTTTTATAAGACCTCTTTAAACACCATATTAAAAGGGTGTTTATATCGGCCCGACAGACGTCCTGTACGCACGACTTAAATCCGAAAAAGACTAATGAACATGAAAATTAAAAAAGTTTTAGTGGACCAAATTGTGAATCTAAACCATTCTTGAATCAGCTCTGAAGAACCTAAAGACAAAAAATTTCACTAAAATCGATCCAGCCGTTTAGGAGGAGTTCAGTGGCATACACACGCACAGAAGAATTATATATATATATATATATATAAAGATTTCCAGGGGGCCCTCTCATAAATTGTCTATTCAGTAATTTTTTTCAGAAACTCTGTTAAATTGCGCGTATTGACAAGCGTCAAGCTGTTATCCGTCAGCGGCGTCCTAAGCGCGACGTATGTTCTAGATAATCGAACAAAAGGTACAGCAGCTGACCACCGTTTTGCTGCGAGCGTTTGGGCCACTGTTCCTGCGCCTTTTCCTAGGGGGGAACCGCAACCAAGGCCGCATGAACGGCGGCACCGTTCAACTGGACGATGACGACGACGACGATGACGACGACTCCACCACCACCACCACAACGGAGTCCTCGAGGCGCAAGCGCGCGCTCTATCTATTGCCGGTATGAGGTCGCATGTCGTCACACTCAGCCTGCCCAGGGACGGCAGCGCGGGCGCGCGCAGACCGCGCGCCATTACCATCGTCACCGTCACCGTCACCGTCACTCACCGAATCTGCCGACGCCCGCCATGCCATAATCATTGCACCGTCTCCCTAGAGCAATAGTGACCGAAGCGGTTAATTGCAGAACACGGTAGCTGAAGACAACCTGCTCTCTGGCGCCGAGTCACAACAGGCCGAGGTGCGCGTTGCCTTCGGTGAACAACAGCAGCAGCCTGCGGCCGCAGCCGAGGACGACCAGCAGGCCGCCGCGCAAACCAACTCCGCCTCCATCGACGAGATCACTCTCGACGATGCCGACGACACCGAGGAGAACAGAAATAAGAGGCAAATTGAAGCAAAGTTTTATTCTGCATCTTTAATCAGCTCTTGCACTTTTTAACCTTAACAGATTAATCAGATCTAGCTTATCAAGGCAAAGGCAATGGAACTTTGTCTCATCATACAGTGATTTGTGTACATAAGGTAGCCGGAAAGCGAAATATTAATTGTTGCCTTCCAAGAGAATTAATGCTTGCGACTTTGATAACTCCTACCTACCAGCCAGAGTTTATGTTCTCGATTTAAACCCATGTCACGCTTTCAAGTAAGGTTCCTCTTAATTTTCTTTAAATTAAATACTTCATTGTTGATGTAAAAAATGTTATAAAAATTTTATAAAAAGTTTGACAGTTATAGATAAATCTGCATAAATACTACTCGTTATCAAAAGTAATACAGTCAAATGTTATTGGCAGTATTTGGTAAATTTGTTCGTTTTCAGATTCCTGAGCTTCGGAGGCTCCGGTGGGTCCTCAGGCGGTGGATCCGGCAACTTTTTATTTGACATCGTGAGAGTATGTATTTCATAACTAAATCTTCTTTTTTTTTACCCACGTTTCTCTTGTTCACCATGTTTCTTGCCCCTTTAATAACGCCGCAAGCATAAGTTTACCCATGTTCCTAGCATCTGTAAACCATATATTCAGATGTATTTCTTATAACAACAAAACCCTCAAATGATTCCATCGTGATATGAGGTGGACAATTGGTCACACGATGAAGTGGAATAGCGGGGAAGCAGGTCATGGAATAGACTCGGAGAAACCTCGATTTGGCGATAAGTGAGAGGGACGCCATAAGGGGTGCGAATGAGGAGGTATGATGTTGCAGCGGCCCGCGGAGGCGATGGCACGCGCAGCCGGCTCCGCGTTCCGACTGCTCGCGGGCACCGACTCTCTCAACGTGGGCTTCACCGCCTCCCACACCGCCACCTTGGACCCCAATGATCCACAAGTACACACAGGATCTTGCCGCACCACCTAGAGCCACTCTCACACACAAACTCGTAGATTTGCTGTAAACTAAGGATGTGACTCGCCGCTGATGTGTTGTACGGTGCCGAAGATATCGCTTTGTTATCGTTGTAGTAGCCCGAAATGCAATCTCCAACACCCCGTCTGTCGTATATTTCCCATCCTTTCTTCCTATTTTCTCTTGCTTTACTTAGATGTAATACTAGTATAGACCATCGTATTGGGTGTAAATCATTTTATTTTGCATTATTTAGTCTAACAACAATAAAAAATATATCTTACCTAACTACGTAAATGTTCATAGTTATATAACAATGTGATAGCAGAATAGTTGTAACGATTTTTCCATGTAGAACTAAACATTTTAACAGAGGCGTAATCTTAAGAGAACAAGAGAGATCAGAGCAAAGTGAGAGTTCTTTTATGCGAATTGCAGCTGGTGGCCGGCTCATCGTCCGGTTCGTCGGGATCCGGCGAGGGCGCGCCGGAAGGCGAAGATGGCGCCGCGAAGGGCGACAACCTGACCGAGGGCGTGCCCGGCCCGATCACGCGGCTCTTCATCATCGCCAACCGAGGCATCGCTAACCTCATACAAGACCTGATCCTGCGTATCGCTCAAACCTCTGAGAGAATAGTTAACTTCAAGGCGCGGCTGATCACCTCCATAATCTAATGCGCCAGCGCCTAGGGCAATGTCGAGAGGCTTGCACCGCAACGGTGCACGTGGGGACATCTCTAGTATATCTGACAGACCATCGGATGCTATCCAAATGACATCGTGCAGTAGATGTCCGACGATCTGTCAGATATTTCTATAGGTAGTTCCGTTTGTATGAATGGTATTAGGTCAATAAAACTTGAATGTCGACTACAATCAATTGGTTGTTTCGGGTTTAGTTTGGAGTCGAGACTCAAGTGTAATTTAACGACCCAAAAATAACTGCGGCGAACACTCTCGATACTTGACTGATCACGTAAAACATTCCTTGTTCCGCATCGAGTGCCGTCGCTCTAAATTAGCGCAAGCACGAAATTGTGCACCTTGCTAGCACTAATGCCTACTACGAGGCTCATTAAATTGGAAACCGGTCTTGGTAATATACGATGTGCGTTGTACTGTGTGATTTTGTACCAGTGATGATAATAATGTTTAGAACAATTAATATAAACACTCTATTCTAAAATTATTTCCATTTGCAGAGGTATTTTTATATTGACTACGATCTTACTTGCGACTGTTTGACATTGCCGTTCCCGTGCTAGTACTCGTGGTCACTTAGGTAGGGAGTGCGCGCCGCCAAGCGTCTCACAAGCCTCCTAGTTAGTATAGGTGTAGTTCGGAGGCGGCGGCGCCGCCCTGCTCAAGCTTTTTTTATATTGTGTCGTTCTCGATTCGTTTTTACGTTTGTAAATATGTATTATAGCGGAATTTGTGTAAAATAAACAAATAGTACCTAGTTACATCGCCTTTATTTGCGATCACCTATATTATTTCAATGTTTAAAACGTTTACAAATCAGCCTTAATCATTTGTCTCCTGCGATATTGTATTGTTGATTCCCAATCATCTCGTGAAAATTTTCTTTTTTCGACAAAATATATTTTCTGTACGTCTTAAGCCCTAATATTATATTAGATCTTAAGCATTGGAATATGTTCGCAATTAAACACAAGTTTTATTTAAAATTATTGTTTTAATGTTATTCACTCTACACACGCACCTTTATTTATATGTATATATACAAAGTAAGTCACGAACTTTCTATTTTTGTAAAAAAATATGACAGGATATTTGCTTTTTATGTTATTTGATATTTGTTAACCTACCCTAACCGAGCAACTATCCTACTTTAAATATAATATCTTAAACTTTAAAATGTACAATTTTGTCTTGGAAATGGTGAACATCTTTGATAAATTTTGTTTCCAATAGGTTTTGCTTTTTAAGTGTATCTGTATGGATCCCTTTCTTGATTAAACGTGATTTCACTTAAAAAAAAGTACTGTTCCATTACGAATCGACAATTACAATGTCGATTCGTAATGGAACATTACACAAGCATCACAAGCGGCATCTCAAATTTTAAAGTTGTTGCGTTTTCTTGCTATTAGAAGTCAGCGGGTAGGTTAAGTCAACTTTTTGGAATAGCAAACATGATTTTAATAAAAACAAAAAAAATCGCAGTTCTATTATCCAGATACTGTAAATTAATATTAACTGATTAGATTGAAAACACTATTTTACTATAACACAAAAAACGAAATTGAAGAACGTCAGATTTCTTCCCGAAACTTTGAAACAACCGCTTAAAATATACGGGAAGCACTATCAGGAGTAATTAATCAAAAATGAATCGATAAGTTTGGCAACACAGCCCACGTAGCAGCGGCGACGCGACTTCTTGTTCCTGCTAGTGGCTGCTGACAGTGGTGCAGGCACGGTGGAACCACGTCGCACCACGCTACCATTGGACATGTTCTCTACGCTGGAACGCTCCTGTTGCATTATCGAGAACGCCACCGCCTTCTTCCACCTTTGTACTCCACTTGAATTATAAGCCCGCACCGTTCGCACGGGTTGGAAGCGACGCATTTAGTCTCTTTTTGATGTTTTCTATCCAGCAAAACAACTGTTCAAATAATGATCAGTTTTTATCACAAAGCTCTTCCATTCCAATTTATTCACCAGTTTACATTATTAACATTTTCACACGAATTTTTTTATTACACAAGAAATTATCTTGGATATCCAAGCAATTATCTTGGATATCCAAGCAATTATGTTTTATAAAACTCTTTGTGTTCAATAATCAAAGTAACAAGGTCAATATTACATTATAATTTTATGCATGATGCTGTAATTGAGATATAAATCAAAAATAATTTTTACATTATTTAATGTCATAATCTAAAAATAGTTCTTATGTTTTACTGAAGAGATTTTATTAAATTATACTATATTTAAATGTATATCAATAAATATTTTACTATTTTTAGATTCTTTTCATGTTAGAAGGTGACAAACGAGCTGACGGTTCACCCGTTGTTAATAGGTGATAACAGCTGTCCATGGACATTTGCAATATCCGTAGGTTACGGCAGTTATGTTACTGCCTTTTAAGGCGCTGTATGCAGTGAATTTTTAACTATTTGGGTGGTGAAGTATGAGGAAGCGGAGGAGGGGTAACGCCGCTTAGCGGCGCGCAGCGCGCGAGTTTCGTCGACGCGCCGCTAGACCATTCATTACCTCGTGTGTAGTGATGGGCCGTAGGACACTATCGATAGTATCATGGAAGACTGTTGAAAATGTACACAGATGGTCCCTATAATATCTTTTAAAGACCATGATTATATTTTACTCTTATATTATTATAGGAATAGTAATAAACAAACAAATATAAAGTTTGAGAAAGCAATCAACAATTATAGAAAATCTACCTATTAATTATTTTAAATTATCAGGAAACGAATTGTGCCTCATGCATAGACAATATAATAGTAAATTGTAAAATTATTAATCAAGTTATATTGAGTGGCGTTAGATCAGATCATAAAGCCCTTAAAATAGACCTTCACATTAATAACAAGAATAATTTTATTATAAATGAATGTAGGCTTGTAACTAAAAACAGAATTAAGAAGTTCAGGGATAGTATTAAGTATAAACTACCCTTGCTAAAATTAACCCTTAATGATCCTGATGGCGATTTCAATACCCTGTCTAGTATGATTAGCAGAGAATTTAATAAAAATCTGCCAAAAAGGAAAACAATAACCTTAAGCAATAAGAATAAAGGGATGGAAGGGAAGAATAAAGGGACAATAACCTTAAGAATAAAGGGAATAAGAAAGAGCAGGGATAGACTTTATGATCTATACAGTATAAAATCATTAACTTGTGATCCTAACTTCCATGAATATGTTAGGAAGTTTTCAAAAATCTTTAAAAGAGTCAGTATTATAGCTAATGCAGACTACTTGAGCAATAAAATAAAATTATCCGCAAACAAAGTTAAAACTACTTGGAAAGTGATAAATAAGGAAACTGGTAAAAATAATGAAAAAAAAAGTGGATTTTACATTAAATGTACATGGCAAAGTTATAAAAGAAAATTATAAAGTTGCAAATGAGTTTCTAAATGTTTTCACAAATATACCTTTTGAAACTACTAGGCATTTGCAACACTGTCCCACAGAGGCAGCAACATATCTGGATAAATATGTTAATATTTCCATTCCAGATTTTAAGTTTTGCCATATAGGTCCGAATGATATTATTAAGACTTTTAAAAATTTAAATAAAAAGAAAACTGAAGACCTATGGGGCGTATCAATATGGGCATTAGATCTTATAATCTGTGATATTGCTTGTTTATTAGCCCAAATATTTAATTTATGTTTAGATACTTGCAAATTTCCAAAATTAATGAAATGTAGCAAAATTGTGCCAGTTTATAAATCAGGCTCAAGAGAAAATTCCTCTAATTACCGACCCATTTCTATCTTACCAGCCTTAAGTAAAATATTTGAGAAAATCATGCTGGATCAGATGCTATTTCACTTTAATAAATATGAAATCTTGAACCAGCATCAGTTCGGATTTACGAAAGGTAGATCTACAACTGATGCTGGAGTAGAATTAATTTCGCATATCCTGCAGTCTTGGGAGACGTTCCATGACACCATTGGTGTGTTCTGTGACCTCTCCAAGGCATTTGACTGTGTAGATCATAAGATTCTTATTAAGAAATTGGAATATTATGGTATTCGAAAATCTGCCATTAATTTTGTTTCCTCATATCTTAGCGATCGGGAACAAAAAGTAATTATAAATGGTATACTGTCATCGGGATCAATAGTACAAATGGGTGTTCCTCACGGATCGATCCTGGGCCCATTCCTGTTTTTAGTCTACATAAATGATTTGCCATATGTGGTAGGAAAAAGGTCTCAAATCGTTTTGTTTGCGGATGACACCTCACTGTTGTTTAAGGTTAATAGGAAAGATGTTACATTAGAGCAACCAAATGAAATACTAATTGTCGTGTCGGGCTGGTTTGCGACCAATAATTTACTTTTGAACGCCACTAAGACTAAATGTATCACATTTTCATTATCAAAGCTGTCTCACAAACCAGGAATCGTTATTGATTACAACATCCTACCTCTTGAGGACTCAACCGCATTCCTTGGAATATGCATTGACTCCAAAGTTGCAATTGGGAGCGCATATAGATAAATTAGCTAAAAAGCTCAGCGCTGCCGTCTTTGCCATACGCAACGAGGCAACAGCTAAATTAGTTTATTATGCTTACTTTCACAGTATTATGTCTTATGGTGTCTTACTTTGGGGTTCCGCATCCGGTTTAGACACGATATTTGTACTGCAAAAGCAAGCGATACGGGCTGTCTATGGCCTGGGTCCACGTGAGTCCCTTCGGCATATTTTTAAAAAGATAAACATCTTAAAGCTCCCGTCGCTATACATACTTGAGAACATCATGTATGTACGAAATAACTTTACCATTTTAACCATTTTACAAAAAATATACCACATCGCGTCGGCGCCGTAGTGACACGTTGAAAATACCGAGGTTTAGACTAGCTAAAACCAGGAAATCGTTTCTTGGTAGATGTATTAACTTATATAATAGAATAGGTGACATCCACAAACAATTAAGTTTAAATAATTTCAAACATTTTGTAAAAGCCACCTTAATGGAAAGGGCTTATTATAATGTCGAGGAATACATTGAGGACAAGGATGTGTGGAAATGACTCTTGCTCTGCACTTGCAAGTCCCCTGGCTCCTGCTAAATTATACTAAAATAATTTTGTATGTATACTTCAATACTTAAAAAAAATATATATATAAATAAAATATAAATATATGACCGCAGAGTTTCTTGCCGGTTCTTCTCTTGCAGGTCTAGTTTAGTGAACCGGTGGTAGTTTTTGACGTTCAATAAGAGCTTAAAATAAGCCTATGTTGAATAAAGACATTTTGACTTTGACTTTGAGAATCGAAATATTGTTCCCTTCCGCAGACATCGTGTAGCCTATGGGTCCGAGCGTTATAGTTGATACATCTTTTTCCAATTTTAATTTGTTAATCAATTAATTATTTTGTTGTTATTTGATAAAATGTGGAAAATACAAAAATTATAAAACAATTATTTTTCGTGTTCGTAAAAGAATAGATTTCGTTTTAGGGTGAAAAATTAAACATTTTAATAAAACAAATTAAAAACAACATGCAATATAAGACTTGTTAAAAATTTTAAATAATGAAAATTTGGTTTATTATCTGATAGATTGTTCTCCAACTGTTGCGTTCTACGTTCAACAAATACAATAATATTTCGTTGTAATTATTTATAAAAATAAAAAAATCAACAAAAATTAAATGGTTAATTAAAAAAATACCTACAAAAAGAAAATAACCAAAAAATATAACAAAGAAAAATGTAGGGATTTGAACCCAATCCCTATAGAATGATGGTCCTTTACACAGTGTTATCAACTGTTCAAAAATAATACTCCTAAAACAATTCGAAAACCGAATAAAATTTATTAAATTCAAACAAAAATTTCTAAATTTAAAATCAGGATTTTTTTTTATATTATAGGAAAAGACAAAATAATTATCTGATAAAATAAACCATGGTCAAGAACATCAAATATAACATAATTCATTTAAAATGAGTATATTAAGAATAAAATCAAAACAATATTAAAAAAAATTATTAGAATACATAAAATATTCATACCAGACACATAGGTCTTGGCCTGACGTCATCCAATGCAAGCAGCACTGATTTTTTTTTAAATAAGTTGTTTTGTATAGTTTTTTTCGAAAATGTGAATAAAATTTAACTCCTAAAAAATATTCCCATAAAAATTTACCTCCCAATAAACCTTTTCCCTCCACATTTTTTATTCCTAAATTTCGGAAGAAAATTCCTAAGTTGGCATCCCTGCCTTTACACTGTTTGTATAGGACTGATAAACTTATCAATAGCAAGATAAGATATTGAAAAAATTACGCTTTAGTTATTAATTCATACAAATAATTAAAAATACGAAATATGTGAATATATATTTTTTAATTTCGTGTTTTCGAAAGATCTAATAAAATTATAACCCTCAATAATAAATAAATACGGAACATATTTCGTAACGGTGAGCGGAAGACGAGCGGCATAAATCCAGTTAGCAAGGCGCCTCAGCGCTCTCTATTCAACGTGTGGAGTTGGAAGAGAGCCGAAACAACGCCGCGGTGGCGCGGTGTTTTGCCCATCGCGTTCGAATTAATTTTAATGAATTAAATTAATATTTAGAAATATCTTACATCAATTAAAAAATTAAAACAACAATCCTTTTTATTAATATATTCTACACCACTGATATTAATTTCATTAAGATTTGTTGATGTATTACGTTCATTTTAGGTTTTGAATTTCTCTTTTAGAGGTAGTTTCATGATTTTTTTCTATCGAGAAAATATATCGAGAATATGTTTTGGAAACATTGTTCCCTTAGAATGTACGATCAAGATTAACATATATTTTTTTTGCTGCTATAAAATGTGTA